TTGAGCACCAAAGCAAAAAATAGAAATTTCATTAAAGCATCAAAATTACAAGTAAGAGTATCAAAAATAATTTTTTGTTCAAGAAAAATTCATGTACAAATTATAAAATTAATGGTCACTAGCGGTTTCATTTTTGCCATCACTTGCATCCTTACTAAAATCATAGTTCTGGACTTTCATTAAAAGTTTGAAGAAATGACCTTTGTCGTTGAATTCTGTGGAAAGCACACCTTCGCTGACTAAAACTTCTAGAACATGCTTTATCTCTTGATCATAATAATGAATACAAATATATTCATGTCATCATACTAGGGAGGATGGTGAATAACTCTTCAATTGGCTTACAATCCATCTATTTCCTTAATTGATCCACTTGAACATAAAGAACTCTTGACTTGCTTTTCCAGTTCAACATATCTTTTGAAATGTTTTTCTTTGGCATTATTTATGCTTTTCAGCTTGGGAAATGACCATTCTATAATTGTGAAAGATAATTCACCTTGTTGAGTCTCATCTTGTCACTAGTTAGCTCCTTCACTTGCTCTCCAAGAACCTTTCTCCACCTCCTCAGCTAGTTTAACTTATAAGATTGGCTTCTCCCCTCTAAGTGTTTATAGTTATACATGTTGATTAACCAATCTAGCTTCTCGACATGCAATCTCTTTATTTAGTTCCACACGGACTAACTCAAATTATTCCTTCTTTAGCACAATAATACTATGGATCAAACCAACCGAGTATGCCCATTGCCACAAAGACACCATATTTGACCTCAATAGAATGTGGTGGTTTTTAGGCTTAATCGTTCAGATCAATTCTTTCATAGAACCTGAGATGATCATTAAGCCAAGGGAAAATTCTCTAATTGAATATCCACCCATAGGATGCCACTCTTAGCTCAAATCAACCAACGTCCTAGTGTCATCTCAATTCACTAGAGAAATTTGACCCCCATTTCACCAGTGTTCCAAAGAACTATTGTAGAATGAGCCTCAGGTAGACCCGTTCTTCTTTTCTTCTCATAGCCAATCATTTTTTTCCTTTAATGTGAGTATTAGCAAGCCACCTTTTTTGGCTTTTTCCCAAAAAATGTTTTCTCTTTTCTTCCATAAGAGGCTTAGTCATTAGTCTCACCAAAGGGTCTATCACATGCTCTTCTATGCACTCCAGAGTGAACCAGATGTGCTATCTTATAATGGAGACATAGAGCAAGATCCTCTTCTTCAATCTCTTCCTCTTTCTCTATGACACTGCCCCTTCACATTGAAAGACCAACAACATTAGGAGCCAGGAGAAGTTGCTTGTTTGTTGTAATCCAATTAGATGTAGAGCCATCTGTTATATATACTTCACCAATTTTCATAAGAGAAAGAAAAACAAAATCAAACCATCACTATAAAAATTAAAATGAAAAGAAGAATGCAAGACACTTACCCTGTAGCATCTTTTCTAAAACCAGACAAAGTGTATTGCCCAATATAAATATTTGCTTTTTTAAGAGACCACCCACTACCATCTTTCTATGGATTCATTGGAAGGGTGCAAAGCATCTCCCTTCAAAATGCAGTAGTTTAGTTGGAACTTTCCACCCACTATTGCCAAGAAGAAAGCAAAATCAATTCTTCCAATAATTCGGTTTTCTTACTTATGATGCTAGGGAACATTAAATGAGTTGAGAAAGTCACCATACTCTCATCATGTACCTTTGGGGTAATGCCAAACTAGATTGGAAAACAAGAACAATCCCTCCGAGTGATCAGACATAACGACAATCATCACGTTTTTAATAAACTTAGGGCTGATCTTAGCAAGCACAAGTCCAAGGAAGTTTAGGATATCCTCCATCTCTTTGCATAGTGAAAACATCAATGAAATTGATAAAGATATACAAATATCACATGTTTATGAATGACATTGGGAGTGTCTTTCCTCTCTGGCCCTAAGGTAACTACATTGTTTAACAAGTATAATGACCATGTGTCAGCCTACATCTTTTCATTCATAAGGTTCCCTTTTGAGAACCAAGCTATCAAGAAAGATGTAGGACTTCTTTTTGAATTGGTCACCAGTGTTGGGGAAGAAGCCATCACATGAGAATAGAGAAAGAAACAGTGGAGCAAACAAGCGAGATACATAAAAATGCCTCCACTTTCTTTTCTTATAAAATCCATAAACATACAACAACCTTGCCTTGATACCCACAACTGACTTTTCAAGAGATATGGACCCCAAATAAATTATAAATTATCTTTTATGCCCATAAAAATGAAGATACAAGCCATAATAACACACCAAATAACTATTAAGTTTTTATTAAGGAACTTCATGAAGTCTATGAATCTAAAAGAATTTATAAAACGTGATAAAGAAAATATCAAATCCAAATAATTAGATACCTACGAATAAAGAAGGAATAAACCATTAGCCTTCACATCATCCAAGGAAATGACTCTTAATTAAATAAGATATCGAGTAACAAATCAGCTACTATATGAGAAACAATCTAAACTATTTGACTTGATATGATGTCAAAGCACATCTATTTTATCTATATCACCTCTATTTACCATCGAACATCTTCTATAAACTCGACAATTCATTCATGTGATTTCAAGTCAACCACCACCACTCTGGCCTCAAGATTGGCGATGTGCTCCCTGGTATCCCACTAATGCTCTCTGACCCCTGACAAGCCTTCCTACAGCATGGTCAGATGATTCTTTGGACTACCTTGCTCCACAGTATGGATCACATCTACTGTGAGTGCAGTGCTTGCCTCCAATTCTTTGGATCTTTAAGTATCTCCTATCACAAAAAGCTCCACTATGAGATTTAGGATGGTGTCCCCATCTAAGATTTGACTTATAGCTGGAACAATTAACTCTAATAAGGGCTAAGCATTGACATCACCTAGTTTTGAGCCATCTACCATTATTTCATAATTTTTTTATCTGAAGGCAACAAAAGATTATATTAGATGAGGATTAAAGGCTCAATCAAATAAATAATGTCTCATTATCTTTAGGAATTGAACTAGAGTCACTGAAGTTTAGGATCTTGCCCAATTTGATGTGCCCTATTGAAAGGATGTCATCAACAAAGAGAGAATCTTCAAAGAAAATTTATAAGTTAGCCAATTGATTAGTGGATAAGTCTTTTATCCAACCAAATAGAAAGGTTCAAACACATCCAAAATGCATGAAAAGCCCAAAGATAAAAAATATCGGCATACTCACTACCCGAATTAAGTTTAGTGAGACATATTAAAAGAAATTCATTCTCCATCTGAATAACTCAGAAGACAGGCCCTCTACCAGGTCATTTAGATCTAAAGAAAAAAATTCTCAATGGGCAAATCTCTTGAGGGATTAGCAACATCTCATTACACGAGACAACCTTCTTCATTATGCCTACAACTCGATTTGGCTCCTTCATGATCTTTGTGGAAAAATCACAAGAAGTACCTTCCTCTGTGGCATTTGACTCCACATAATGTCTACCTTTCTTTTTATTTTTCTTCATCTCTAGATTTAAGCTCTTTAAACCACATTTGATAGAGCGTGACTTGAAGGCGTTGTCTTTTAATCTTCATCCTTTTCAAAAAATAGAACTGCAAAAAATCACTATTCTTCAACATAGAGACTTAAGACTTCCACAAAATGTCTTCTTATAGGCCTCAATTGTAGCACACCTTTAAAATTTGTTAACTAAAGTTGTTTCTAATATTAACTCAATTTTCTTTAGACAGCATAATGGTGTTACATAGACACTTAAGACACATGTATTTAGGATCATAACAAATATGATGCAATATTCATTTTATGGCTGAAACACAATCAGAGAAGTCCTAATTTCTACTCTCGTCATCTTAAACCTTTTCTAAAACCACATCTATTTCTACTAAAAAACTAGCTCTAATTGCAAAATAATTTGAGTCACAAGCCTCCATTTTGACAGGATATAATACCATCCAAGTCTCAATAAGAAGATCCAAAGATTCATAATGAAGTCCTTCTTATAGAAATGCCAAGGCCATTGAGAATAAAAATTGATCGCACTCACAAAAACTTAAGAGACTACTCCTTACAAGTGCAACAAAATTTTTTTTCCAGGCAAAGGATAGTCCTAGCTCAGGATTGAGTGTAAGATGATCTAAAAATCCTTGCAGGTACAACAAAAGTGCTCCCAAGTATAGATAGATTATGTTATGAATCATATTACATTCATGCCTAAAAATTTTCTTTCCTCAAATTAAGCTGTAAATCATGACAAAAACTGAATATTTTAATAAATAGAAAGTAGTAAATTTTCATTCTCTCATTCTTCTTGTAGTTCCTAGTTGCAGAGATAAGATATTAGGGGAACCAAATGTATGTGTTAATACAAAATTTTTAGAGATACATTATAGGAAGCATTATCAGCTCTGAAGATCCATATGCAAAGATCAAGTTTATTTTTTTAGCTGAGCCCACCTACTGAAGTGATTGAGTTGAACCCACCTACTAAAGTAGCCTAAACAACCCTAGATAAAATATCACAGAAGACCATCATTACACAGAAAGACATATGTCAATCCTTTTTTATGGTGTCGCCCAAACATCCATCATAATCTTTTGACCAAGACAGCACAAAGAAGCGCAGTACCATATGGGATATAATTTTATATTTATTTTCTCGCATGGATAAAAGGATAACAAAGGAGAACTCTACAGACCTGTCTTTCAGGACCATGAAATGGGTTTTATTCTCTCTCTCTCTTTCTTTCTCTTTTACTTTTCCTCTCTCTCTCTTTCTCTCTCTCTCATTATGGAGGAAGCAAAGCTCCTTGTTGGTTTTTTCCCTGTCGGCACTATTTTTGGTG